GGATATGCGATGGGACCCAGAAAGCATTTGCTAAGTGGAATTTATAAACGTCGTGCACTAGAGACCAGCAGCGTCTCTGCGGCTGTTCTTAGAGGTCCTGGCAACCAAACTTTACTGAAATGCTTAGAAAGGTATGGCCGGGCTCAGAGTCCTTGACTTCATGCCATTGAGGACGCGCGTAAGTGCTCGGCCGTGCTAAAGCACAGCGGTTTTTTAAATCGTGAGTCTTGATTGTTTTTGTGTTGGCCAAATCCTTGTTAAATGTCTCATTGCAATAAGAAACGAAAGAGATCTTGCGTTTGCTGGAACTGCTTGCTTTTGCACTGACAAAAACGCTGCTTGCAGCCTGCTGCTCTCGCAAAGTACTGTGCCGTCTGATCCCCGCAGCTCGCGGTGCATTGGGAATCGCAGCTACTGTAGGTAACAAGGTGATGCCAGCGTATATAGAGGGGGGGGGAAAAAAAAGCAGGATGGAATAAATCATGCAGTCATTAGAGGAAAAACTTAATTGTGGGAACTCTGTAGACTTTTAATTTAAAAAAAAAAAAAATTACTGTATTTTGGGCCGTAGAGGAATCGGCTTGTTCTATTTTTAGGAGATCAGATATTTGTTGGTTGGGATGTCTGGGGTGTTTTAACATGTGTTCTTTTTTTTTTCTTACTTCAGCATTGGAGCTACCAAGTCAGAGAAGCTGCTGGCTCTGTTCACGTGCAGCCTTCTCTGCAAATATGCTCTAGGGTTTTGTCTTTCTATTCTCCTGGCACCGATCTCTTCCATGCATGCAAGTGAACAGGCTTATGTATAATGGCTGTTTGTATGTGGCAAGTATCCAGAATAATCTTGATAACTTTTTGTTCAGTGCCATCCTGCAAATGAAGATAGCATTCCGTGGAAAATGAGCAAAGAGAAGAGCACGGGCAAAATCAATTTCTCTCCAAGAAGCATCTGGTACCTGAGGAGGACTAAATAATTTTTCTCCTCTCGTTGACCCTCCCTGTGCTGTTTTTAAAACATCTCCGTTTTAGTGCCTTGAAATTGCAATTAAGTTGTAGTAATTTAAGATTATTGCGAGAGTGCAAAGGGCAGCAGAAGCTCTTTAGAAGTCTCATCTCAACACTTAATGCTACTCAGTCAGGGGGTTAAATGAGTTTCCTCAATGTGAGTACTTAAAGTAACTAAATCGTAAACAAAATTTATACTATATTCTGACAACTAATAATCTATTTAAATTACATTAAAGTATGTGTGTGAAAATTTAATTAAAGACAGAAATACTGTCAAGCCCTGTAAATATCTTGACAGATCTACTGAAATGGAACCCATATCGTAAAATACTTACATATATCTGATAGGCTACAGTGTTTCTGGGAGTGCTATTCTGAAACTAATTGCGGGCTTTTTTCCTCCCAGTTTCCCCATTCGGTTGCAATGGTCTTGGAAAGCAGTACAAATAAATACCCAGAACGCTTTATTCG